GTTTTATATGTATTTATGGCTTTTTAAATTGACTGTTGTATGCCGTGTGAGATGGGGGGGCCATATAAATTTGATAAACAAATAAATAAATAAATAAAATGGACCTTGAATGTGCTCCAACTCCAAATGTATGCAGATAAAATGTCCCTGATATCTGCTTAAGGAGTTTGACACCTATTTGTTGTTGTTTTTTTAGGTAACTTTACAATAACTAATTTCAGAAAGGAAATCCATATGTTTTTAAATAAAATAAAGATCACAGACATTTTATCATATCCAGAGCAATTACAGGTAGCAAATCAGGTAAACCAAATCTTAACTGATTTACAGTGAGAGCGCTGATCAGTACTATGAATGAGGTATCTATTGAATGCATCATTTTGATTTTGATTTACCTTAGACTGGAAAGTAATTTAAAGCTTTTTAGTATTTTTCTCATATTGGAAGAAACTATCCAGTATAACGTGGTATTTTAGAATTTCCTTCCACTTGACTTGACTCGGTCCCTAAAATTTTAGCTTTCCCAAGACTCTTGAAAACTGTGGTTCCAGAGGGCCTCTAGTGATACACGATGTTTAAGATGGATGACTGTACTACAGTCTTTGGTTTTTACAGTTCTGTAATTTTAATTTTTTACCATGGATATTTTATTTTTTTCTGTTTCATTACTCAGTCAGGCAGTCATTTTATTTCAGTCATTGACCGGCAAAACAAAACAATTAGAGTAGAACCAGCTATAAAATCATATAACGTTACAAGTAAAATTGTAAGTTAAAGTTTAAGAATTTGGGGCATAAAAATTACTGTGAATTGCCACAAGCTTGTCAAGGATTGCCAAAGGTAATAAATCTAATAAATATGTGGCCACAGACCACAGATGGCTGGCAGAGGTAGCTCGTGGTCTTTGGGAAGATAATATAGGAATAATAAAATATCATTCAGTGTGCATCTTACGCAGTATATTTGACATCATCTATCATTATTATTAATAGATGCAATAATAATTACATTATTCACAATGCAATTTCCTTCACAAAGATATCTCTGTAATATAACATTCTCTGAATTTTAATAGTGGCACTTTGGAAAGGCATCAGTGTGACCTTTGTCTGTTCAGGCTTTAGAACACGGGAATCCAAAAAGAAACTAGAGCAGTTTTTCTCAACCTAGACAACTTGAAGATGTGTGGACTTCAACTCCCAGAATTCCCCAGCCAGCACTGCTGGCTGGGGAATTCTG